GTGACCTGGGGAAGGCAAGGAGCACACAGAAGCCGGGGGCTGTCGGGTCAAGTCCAACACGGCCATCAAGGGGTCGGACAGGTGAGGGAGAGAAGGGGCCTGCTCCGCCCACCAGGCACCCAGACATTTCTCAGTGCAGGCTGGCCCACAGCCCTCTCTGAGCTAGGTCCGCCGCCCTGGGGTGGAGGCCAAGGGAAAGTCCAGCCAGGATGGGACCCCGGAGAGCAAGGGTGGGTTAGACACATTTTGAGGGCGAAGATGGAGCACAGGCTTAATGTGTCTCCCAGGCTATTAAAGGAAAACGTAATTCAGTCAGGGCTTCCTGACTGCGGCGAGATAAGGTGTGGGGGGTGCGAACACGAACAATTACAGGCCCCCGCCCTCCACAGCGCTTCCAGTCCCTTAGGAAAAATCGGATGGGACACCGAAAACTACGACTATAGGAGAAAAGGGATCTACTCGCAGGAGAGACAGATGGAGGGTGAGGTGGGAGAGAACCAAGGCACATGTTTTAAGAACTGTGTCTGTTACACAGTGTTGCTGTGTCTGTACACAGTGTTGCTGATGCTGATACCACGTTGCGAAGTTTGCGACCAGTGTTCCCTAGTTGTCACTCTTGGTACCTTCCTATAGCTTTTTGACCATAAGCTGACAGATTTGCCAGGCAGATAAGAGAAAGGAGTCGGTCGGAGGGCAAGGCTGAGTTTCTAGTCAGGCTAACTTGGTTATTCACTAGATTTCCTCCTCCTTTGTGAAATGGAAAGACTTGCCCCTAGGAATATGTGAAACTACATGAGACATTGAATGAGAAAGTGGATAGGATATTTTGGAAGAGTAGGGCATCATATACCATATATAGGGCATCGTAAATCAGTTTTCCTTGGCCCCTGTGACTTTATAGTAGGTCCTCCGGAGTCCTTTGAATTTATTAAAATCCATCCAGGCAGGATTCATGTCATGTATTGGTTTGCTTTCCGCAGGAGAAAGCTTCGGGCTGATGTGGCGGCTGCTTTCCCCACTCTTGGAACAGATCAGGTCTCCGCCTTAGTACCTGGAAAGGAAGAGCTCAACATTGTGAAGTTATATGCTCACAGCGGGGATGCAGTGACTGCCTATGTGTGTGGTGGTAACCCCATCCTGTTTGAACTGGAGAAAAATCTATACCCAACAGGTATGCCAATAGGATGGAGAGGGCCATTACTGTAATCCTTGCCTAACCTCTGTTTCTCCTCCTTTCTTTCATTAACCTGCCTTACTTAAAATGTGAAGTACAGAATCTCCCAATATCATCCCTAAGGATCTTTTTGGACCCAGTGTCCCTAGAATTGGGTCTTTGAAGATCAAAAACTGCTATAGGAGGGAGAATAAAAGATCTAACTCAGGAAGAGGGTAGTTGGCAAGGGATGTTCTGAGAAGAAGGAATAATAGTTCATCGTGGGTTAAGTAGGGATGGAGGAGAGGTCTGGAAAAGGGTGGAATTTCAGGATATGTAAAAAGTATTCTTAAAATTAGCAGTAGCAGGATTTTCTTAAGAAACTGGATAGGAAGGAAGCTGGGTTAATGGAACTACATACCCAGCTGTCCAGTGATGTCCTTCAGATATCTCACAGGGATTCTTTCTTAGGCTCTACCTGGCTCTCGGGATCCTTTGCTTTCTGTCTTTGTCACTTCTTCTTCCCCCAGCTTGGCTGCAGCAGTGCAGTGGGGTCTCCTTAGGTTACCTGTGCCCCCAGCCCACTTTGCGCCTGTGCAGACACAGGCCCTTTTCAATCTAAGGTTTTACTGCTAGTCACTGGGAACACAGGGGGAATAAAGGAGTGAACATGGGGAAGTTTCAACATGTCCTACAGGCTGGCGCCCCGTTCTTTGCTTCCTTGCTTCTGAGGTCCCAGATGGAATCCTCGTTGGGTCTCTGTCCCCGCTTTTATCTCCTGTGCCGTGGCCATTGCTGCATCCGGGTGGAATCACAGGGGCCTCCCAGTCTCAAGAGACATCCCATTTTTTAAGTATCTGCCTGCTTTAAGAAGGAAACCTCTTAGGGCCTCACAACCTCCTCTCTGGCTTTGAGTTGACGTTCTTTTCTGTTTGTTAATTAAAGTGACCTTAGTGTTTGGCTTGTCCAGTTCCCTCAAAGATTCACCTTTTGGTAATAAGTCTTCCTGTGTCTCTTTTTGGGCCGTGTACACCTGTGGTCCTATCCTGACCTCCTCCCAACGTTCACAACATGGCCTCTGGTGCTCGAAAAACTGGTGGGAGGAGCAGGTAAGAGGATTTTCCTGTATTCTGGCTATTGGCCGAAACTTACTTAGTAAGGGCCAACTACTTGAATAAATGCACCCATTTCCTGTGTTCATACCATTGGAAAATGAAATTTTTCACGCATGTGTATTTCCTCCCTCACTTGGCTGCTTCCATAAGGTCCCTGGGCCTCTACAACCCCGTTGAAAGGCTCCAATAAGCTTCGTACTTTGTACTTACAGCAGAAAGTACTCTGTGAACGACGATATGCTCTGCTTTACATCAATAAGCTAAAGTCAGGAAAAGCAGAACAAGAGATCATGGAACCCGACCCTCAGCTTGGTGCTTCAGTTTGACCACTAGCCCCGGAAGGGAAAAGGTCTGATGCTCAGGTTGCATTTCCTAATTTTCATTATGAATAACCTAGTTGATACTTAATAAGTGTTTGTTGGTTGAGTGAATGAATTAATGTTGAAGTCAAACTTGGAATTGCTTAGAGGCATAATGTGGGTTGTGATGCCTTTGTCTTGTTTCCCACAGACTTGATGCTGCCCGGCCTCGTGGTGCCCCCTGCTGGTCTGCCTCAGGTACAGAAGGGTGACCTCTGTGCCATTGCCTTGGTGGGGAACAGGTACTGTGCCAGTCCCCTGTGCCTTTGGGGGAAAACCTTAGGTAAAACTGGGGAGAGGGAATGGGAAAGGATAACTTCCAAAGCTTATGGATAAAGAATTAAAAGAAAAAAACCAGATTCTTCTTCCAGAAACAGAAAGTGGGCCATGGGAGAATGGCAGTGAGCCTGTATGAGTGATTGCCAGGAGTTGGGGGGATGAGAGAAATAAGGAGAGTTTGGCCAAAGGATATAAACTTTCAATTATAGGATCGAGTCGGAAGGTCTAATGGATAACAAGGCCATTATAGTTGGTAACAATATCATATAACTGAAATTTGCTAAGAGAGTAAAATTTACTTCCAGTCACCACTGACCTCTAGCCACATAAGCACCAAAAAAAAAAAAAAAAAAGAATAAGCTTTGGAGAAGATGTTATATGTCTTTCTCACTCACTACTTTAAAGTTACTTTCTGACACAATATGATAGCTAATAGTGAACATTCAACATATATTTGTTAAATAGATAAATGAATATTTGTGCCTGATAGTTCTATGTTGATCTCAAAATAAAGCAAGATGCTATGTCTTGTTTGTTCCGTCTATAAAAATTAACTGTTCTCGACTAAATACAAACATGCACACATAGATATTTTCAAACACACACACACACACACACACACACAGACACCCTGAACTTTGGGGAAACAATAAGTCACATACAATCACTTATTTTTGTTTTTCTTGCAGGTCCTGCTGAGGTAGTGTAGGAAATTATTTTTCATGTCAAAAGATAGTTGTTTCAGGAAATGCAGAGTGCCCACAGCAAGGAAAAAACTAACCTCTTTATGTAGGAAAAGGAAGAACATACAGGCAATACAATCCATAACTAAATGATTGACAATTTCAGGACTGGAACGGTTCATTCTGACTAACTGAACTGTTTCTCTAGCTACTCTGGACCATTAGAGCTGCAGGCTTTAAAGAATTGTTCACCTGCACATGCTCATAAAGGTCTATCAGAATATATTTGTGTTCTATATAAACTATATAGAGTAAGGAAAACAGTCAAAGAATTTTGAAAAGCAATACATTTAGCCTATTTAATAAAACTGAAATAATATTATAACTACACCAGGGAAAGAAATATTTCAAAATGAGAAAACTTGCTGCCTGTACTTAGAAGGGGCATAGGAAATAGTTTAATGCCTTCCATCTCCAACGGTGGATTTATTTTTATAACTACACTGATAGTTTTAATTTTGCTTCAAAATGTATGTGACATATTTGACATTTACTGTTTCACACTAATACATGGCAGTATGTGTATCTCTGTGTTACTAAGAATATGTTCACATTTTATACCTCTCCCACTTGGTTTCAGCCAACTCAGTCAAAGCAATAAACATTTTTCAGTGTTTACTGCCTGTTCAATAATCTGTTTAGTTCCAGAGACATAATGATGTATAAAACACAGCCCTTTTCCTGAAGGATCATACAGTTTATATGAAGGGGCTAGGGAATTAGATAGGAAAGCAAATAATACAATAACAACACATAGTTTCTTTAAATTGATTTTGTACTTAATAATCCAGCATGATTATTATCTGATATTAGTATTTTCTATAATATCATTTCAATGAATACATAATTTACTGTTGTTAACATATAATTAGCATGACCAATCCCCTATCATAGAACATTTATGTCTTTCTGTTTTAGATTTAGGATATAATGTTGCAATTAAAAGGAAGACATTTATCTCAGTATTTTCATCTCTCTCTGGACCTCAGGAGCCAGATCAGGTTAAGGAATATTGGATTTATTTTTGTATACTAATTAGTTAATGGAGTGGTATGGTCAAAGCTGGACCTCGAGGCATTAAATTATTTACAAGGGTATTAGCAATATTAGAGCATAAGAAGGGGTAACTAATTGGGTGATAGAGGTAATCAAAGAAAAGACAACAAATATGATGAGTTAGGCCCTCCAAGACCAGTTCAGTTAAAAATATTGTTGAAAGGCTATTGTGCATTTGTATTACAAAGGAGAAGAAGTCACCATCCCTACCTGTTATGGACTGAATGTTTGTGTCCCCCAAATTCATATATTGAAACTCTAGCCTTTAATGTGACTGTATTTGGGGACAGGTCCTTTGTAAAGTGTAATTCGGGTTAGATGAGATGATGAAGGTTGGTGTCCTCATGATGGGATTAGTGCCCTCTTTCAGAAGAGGCACCAGAGCACACGCTCTCTCTCTCTCTCTCTCTCTCTCTCTCTGCTCACATAGAAGAGGTCATGAGAACACACAGCAGGATGGAGGCAACCTATAGCAGCCAGGAAGAGAAATCTCTTCAGAAACTGACCATGTTGGCATCCTGACCTGAACGTCTGGTTTCCAGAATACTGAAAACCTAAATGTCTGTTGTTGAAGCCACTGTCTATGGTATTTTGTTATGGTGGCGTCAGTGCCTAATAATCTGCCCTTGGGGAACAAACCAGTTAACACAGTCTTAGGTGGATAGGACTCATGCTAGGAGACATACACACATGGCATCACTATCACAGCTTATCAGAGGAAAACTTAGCTGAGGTGGTGAATTCAGGGAAGTACATATTCTGTAGAATATTATGCCTAAGCAAAATCTCAAATGGTGAACAAGGATCAAATAGGACCAAAAGTTAGGCAGGAACGTTTCCTCAGAAGAAATAGCATAAGCACGAACGTGAGTATTGGCAGCAAATCCACACTGGTTACCGGTACCTGTGATGGGGAGGAGTCTAAGACGACCTCTCTAAGATTTTCACTTTATTCTCTTAGTTCCAGAAAGAAATATAAACATGATGAGATATCAGTGCTATGATTAGGTGATTAGTCAATTGACTTTGAGTTCATTTGGGCATATCTGACGAACCAGAAATGCCCTTAGCAGGATCCAGGGCCTTCCTGAAAAGAGACTGGAGTGTGAGAGGGCCTGTGGAGGAGGTTCCCTGGGAGGGAACTGAGAAGAGCCTGAAAGAGGTCAGAGCCATCCCTGGCCATGAGCCAGCCAGAGAAGGAGACCTCAGTGCTACCATTGCAAGAAACTGAATACTGTCAGCAGCCCTGTGAGCTTGAGAGATGACACCGACCTGCAGAAGAAACACACAGGCCGACCAACACGATTTTAATCTTGTGACAAGTTGACCCAGATTCCTGACCCATAGACAGTCAGTCTCCGCTGTTTTATGCAGCCAACTTTGGTAACTGGTTAGGTACCAGTAGAAGCTACTACATTCGTAGAGATCATAAAACATGAAACTAAAAGAAACTAGATATAGGAGAGGTAGATAGGATTTTGTGAATCTTCTGAAGCTTTTAAAGGAAACAAGGGCTTCATTTTGTGGATCATGGAGATATTTCTGCATGGTTACAAGCGAGGGTACAGGGGTCAGATTCCAATTGTGCAAGGTTGTTCTGGCTGCAGTTTAGAGGATAGATATGTGGGAGTTACCACGCCCATATACGAGGCTGCTGCTCTGGCCTGGCAGGTACCTGAAGAGAGCTTGGGGAGAGCCAAAGTGGTCAGAGTGAAGTGAATGCATTAAACAAAATTAACATGTGAGGTGACAGGCATGGGCATTATACGGGTGTCGAAGACGAACAAAAAATTGCCTAGAATGATTCTGAGATTTTAACTGTGTATGTCCCGGTGAATGGTGAGCTACAACCTTTAATGGAAACACATTTGGTGTAGATTTGACTTGGTGAATGGGACAAAATGATGAATTAAATTATAAAATACTGTATTTGGGGTGTCTACAGAAGAAACTGAAGATTTATGAAGAATAGATGATGTCCCAAATCTGTAGTTCCTTTTTGCTTGAAATGTAATTCATAACCTTCTTCTCAGAAGAAATTAGCATTTCTGATAAAATTGTTCAAGCAATTTCAAGGTAAATTTTAGTGGTATTCGGGCAGATTCTGGGAAATGAAGCTCCTTCCCATCAGTTGTCAGTCAAAGAACCTAATGATCCAAGTTTTTCTTTTTCGTCCTCTTTTAATTTTGCATGGATATTCTGTGACTAACCCCGGCTTCCCTTTTAGATGTCTCTCACAAGCATGAATCTTAACTTGCTTGTTTCAGGAATCAGGAATCTTTATATCATGGTTAAAATAATACTTGCATATGTGGTCCTCTCCAAATATTTTGGAAATTTTATTTGAGACAGTGATCTGTCGGTGAAGACGTCAGTATTATCAGTCTGCATTCTGTGGAAAAGATTAGAGGGTGACGTAGATCTAGTGTAGCCCAGGAAGGAGAGAGAAACAGGACAACCAAAAAGCTGAGAACCAGAAAAACACAAGAGCCTTGCTGTGTGAAAACACAGATCAAATGTAACCATTATATTTTGTAACAGGTATAATTGTAAATGATAACATATATTAAATATACCAGGGGTGCCTGGTGCATGTGACATATACCAGGGGTGGCTCTGTAGGTTAAAGCCTCTGTCTTTGGCTTGGGTCGTGGTCCCAGGGTCCGGGGATCGAGCCCCACATCGGGCTCCCTCTCTCACCCTTTCTCTCAAATAAATAAATACTGTCTTTAAATATCTATATCTATATCTGTATATACACATACAGGTATAATTTATACAAAATACTTGAAAAACTGCCTTTGCAAATATCCTTTATAGAAAACATTAAAAGCTAGACTTGGGCTCCCAATCCAGCCAAATTTAAAAAAGAATTGAAAGAAGAAAGGAAGGAATGATAGAGTTATGAGACTCTCTAAAAAATTAATTTGCTGCTGAATAGGATCACCCAAAAACACTAGCTGAAGGTGCTTTGAGCTGATAACCCTCGAATCTGACCTGGAATCAGTTTGGCCACAAGTACCTCCACTCCAGTTAAAATCAAAGGTGACATGGGAGAATGGGCTGTTTACTTCGCCACAACCAAAGCTGCCCTCTGAGACGTTAAATCACCAGGAGATCCGAATCACAAATCAGTCATTTCTGATGAATATAATTTATGAAGGAAGACTCAAACACGCCAGACTCCTGCCTGACTCCTGAGAACGAAGTAGCTCCACAGCAGAGCCTGAGGCTGCCTGTCCCATAAAATCAGACACGACCACTCGTGTCGTAACTGTGTGAGAAAGACTTTGCGCTCATCCGCCCACCTATTCGTTTTCATGTCCACTCATGGAGGCATTACTTGCTTGCCTTCTCTGCCTGGACTTTGCTCGGTGCTGAGGATGCATGGTGAACTAACCGGACAGAATCCCTGCCCTCATGAGGCTTACATTTTATCTGGGGGTATGGATATTAAACAAACTCTATAAAATTAATATTTCTAGCAAAAGTATTATACATGCCACAAAGAGGGCTATGAAAGAGAATGAAATGGGGAGAATTTCAAAACTTGAGAGATGAAGGAAAGTTTCTTTGAAGAAATTTGGGTTGACCTATGAACAGAAAGAAAATAACTAGAAAAAAAAGGGATAAAATGCTGTCCAATGAAAGAAGCGTGAAGGCGCACAGCCAGTGTATCTTGCAAACTCTACACAGTAATATATCTTGCCAGAGAATCTGTGGGTTTAATGAGAAAAGACAAGATAAAAATAATCACTTTTTGTTACTTGGTACTTTGTCCCAAGTCAGCTTTCTCATTTGCAGAATTATTTGTGTTATTGATAAATAAGAAATATACATTTTTAAGAGTTTAATTTTAAGTAATCTCTACAACACTAATTACTGGTTTTAAAAAAACATTGACCATAATAGAAATTGATGAGGAATTCCCTAACATAACTTACAAATGCTTATAACCATGATCCTTGTTATTTGCCAATTTGTATCTGCAGTTTCACCTACTGGCTAAAATCTACTTGTAACCCTAAAATTAATACCTTGGGCTTTTTCACCATCATTCCAGGGTGCATACGCACACACAGCAGGGAAAAATTAGATGCGTCCATATGTGCACATCCCCTGCTGGAGTCCAAGGTGCTGCTCTGCCTTGTCTTTTTCAGCAATTGTAGGGAGACGACCATGGGATGGAGACAGCAGGGGGCAGCACCGTGTAGTACAAGACACAGGCTCTATGGCCAGTTAAGTAGGGTTTGAATGTCAACTCTGGTACTGTTATTGGGATGGTCACTTAACACTTCTAAACCTACTTTTTTCTCTGTAAAACAAAGCAAGTATAATCTACCAGGATGAAGTGCTTTAGGAATTAAGATTATATGTGAGGTATCTCTCTATACACACACACACACACACACACAAATACGTGTACACATAATACCCCTAGGAGCAATGATTCAGTGTTTGCTAATACAGAATTTTGTGGTGATTTTCTAAACATTATTAGCAGGAAAAATGAGAATTGAGAGTCTGTGTGTGTCTGTGTGTGTACGGGTGTGTATTGTACACACATACGTAAAATGGATATAGAAATATGAAATACATATGTATGTATATGTACACCTAGATATATCTTATATATCATGTGTATCATATATATGTGAAAAGTAAGCATCACAGGCTAATACTGAAAGCTTTATTGCTAAGTCAAGAAGATGGAAGTACTATAGTCATCTCTACTGTCTAACATAGCACTAGATGTTCTCACTCATGTAACTGGTCAAAAGAGAGAAATTAGAAGTATAAATACCAGAAAGAGAACACTAAAAATATCAATATTTGCAGATGATATGATTTAAACCCAGCAATTCCACTAGACTTCAGTGGAAAGATTCTACAGACAACAAAGTAATTCAGTTAGTGGTGTGGTGTGAAATTAAAATACAGACATCAATAGCCTTCATGAATACACACAATGACCAATTGAAGATAAAAGGTAAAAGAAGGCCTTATTTATATTTTCTGCAAAAATAAAAGCTTAGGGGGAAAAAAGTTGAGAAAAATCTATGTGAGAAAATATTTTCAACATTCTTAATCACAAACATAAAATGAAATACATGGAAACATATACAATAGAAAGACAGCTTCATAAAGGTGTCATGGACAGGCTGTAAGGGAAAAGCAAATAGGCATAAATATCCAGGAATACTTTGAAAAGAAGGGTGACAATGATGACAAGAGTGATTAGATTAGGCCTATTAAAAAACAAAACTCAATTTAAAATTAAGTTAATGACTTCTGGATACACAGACCAACAAAATAAAATTTCAGAAGTAGACCAAATCTGTACTTAAATTTACTATATCCCAGGGTGATCTCTGGGATCTGAGACTGAGCCCATCATCAGGTTCTGTGCTTAGCATGGGATCTGCTTGAAATTCTCTCTCTCCCTCTCCCTCTCCCCTGCCTGTTTATGCTCTCTCTCTCTCTAAAATAAGTACATCTTTAAAAAAGGAAGAAGAAGAAGAAGAAATGTACTATATCCTAGAGGTAGCATTTCAAATATATCAAGGAGTCTTGGAATTTTTAAATCAATGGTGTTGTGACAAACTGGGTAGTTATTTGAAAATAATGGGGTTCAATTGATACATTACACACTAAAATAAATTCAAATCAGTTAAAGATACATATATTCACACTTTATATGTATATATATATATATCCAGCAAAAGTATAGAAGAAAAGGTTGTTTCAACTTTACTCAATAAAATATTTCTTTTTAGTTGATATAAATAAGAATGTGTGGTTAACCACCCCCCTTCCCAATCATGGTAACCAAAGGCAAAAGACAGAAGAAACTGAACAAAATTAGAATTCACAGTACATATAAAAGACAAATGTGCCTAATTTATAAAAAGCACTATATATCAATAAGGAAAAGTTCAGTAGAAAATGTGCAAAACATATGAATAAGCAATTATATATATTGAGCAAGAAGTTATATAGCTGGATTTTGTTATATAGCTGGATTTTGAAGAAAAAGACCTTTTTGCTAACCT